TATGGGTGCAGGCTAGAGGACATTCTTGACAGAGCCGTTCACCGGGGAGCAGTTTCCAAACAGCAGGTCGGCGAAATGCTAAGGAACAAGCTTTGGTCTGGCCTAAGAGATGAGCGGATGCGTAATGCCACACGATACAAGTACGAGACAGTTAGGGACTTTGACCAGCTTCTGGCTGAGTTACGATCGGTGGAACAAGAAATGAAGGAGGTAGAGGAGCTACAAACTAAGAAATCAAAGTCGCAAAAGGCGGTCCTAATGCAGTGTTCAGACAAGACTGTGGACGAACTATCCAGGAAAGTCCAGGAGCTGGAGGTACAGATGAAGGAACAGAAGGACAATGGTGCCCTACTTAAGAAGATTTTGGAGAAGATCGAAATACTGGAGACGAATCAAGCCAAGAAGGAGTCACCCATGGTGTCGTCAATCTCCAGTCGACCTCTGCCGAGGGACAGGCGGTAGGTCTTGGTAAGTTTTCHGGTCCCGATGTAGCTGATCTATTGGGAGAAATTAACGTAAGTATGGCTTATGTAGAAAACGTTCCTGCACTGGCCCTAATTGATACTGGCTCTCAGGTCTCCACGGTTAGCGAGGACTTCTATCGCGAATTTTTGATGGTAAGTTTTCCTTTGAAAAAACTAAGTACTATTCTGCAGGTTGAAGGTGCTGGAGGTCAAACTGTTCCTTTTCAGGGCTTTATTGAGGCCGCAATTTCTTTTCCTGAGCAAAGCAGTGGGGTGGACGTTTCTTATGCCGTACCTCTACTCGTTGTTAATAATACGACATTCAACAAGCAGGTGCCACYAGTCCTTGGTACGAACGTTATAAAGTACTGCAGAGAACGGTGCATGGAGGAACATGGTCAGCGGTATCTTCAAATAGCACAGCCGGACATGGCCTGGAGACTTGCGTACCAACATCTTGTACATCAGGAGAAACGTTTACGTAAGGGATTCAAAGGGAGGAAGGTAAGAAGCGAGAAAGGACCTACCGTGATAAAAGGTAATGAAACCGCTGTAGTGTGGACCGCATGCAGGACCAAGAATAATGGCCTTACATACTGTCAGAAACTCATAAGGGGATTGAAACGTGTAGCACGGTCAGATGCTCCGGAATATTCAAAATGATTAGCATAATTTTGATACCATATTTGGGCCAAACATTTGAGTTTGAGATGAAAACAAAATGGCGGACAGACGGCAGCAAAAAGTTGTCTCGTTTTAAATGGTTCTAAAATGTAGCTAAAATGCTCAAAAGAGCTGAAAATTGTACAAAATCAACTGATTACCATCCAAAGGAACTGGAATGAGGTATATTATTGTTCAAAATATGGTTGTAAAATGACTTCAGTTGATTTATTGGCGTTTTGAATATTCCGGAGCATCGAACCAAAGAAATGCACTGTTGCTACACGTTTCAATCCCCTTATGAGTTTCTGATACTGTGCAATGGCAGAAAGTAACACCTCAGAGGATTTGCACATCATACCGACGCTAGTCATTGTCAAGCTGGATGGAGGAGAACAACGCATACCACTTAAAGTGCATAATAGTTCCGCGCGCGACATTACCATTCCGGGAAATACAGTACTGGCGATCCTGAAGAGCAAAGGAAGACGGCCTTACAGGTACTGAAGGGGTGGGAACAAAGAATATTTTCTCAGAGCGCAACCGACCTTGGACGCACGTCTGCTGTCAAGCATTCCATCAAACTCTCGGATAATACTCCTTTCAAGATCAGACATCGACGTGTCCCCCCGGGTCAGTACGAGGAAGTTCGTCGCCATTTGAAAGAAATGCTGGATTGTGGTGTGATACGAGAAAGTCACAGCCCATGGTCATCACCCATTGTACTTGTCAGGAAGCGAGACGG